ATAAACTTTACTATATCCAATTGTTTTGGCCAGATTATGAAACCGTCATCAATAGATCTATAATAAAATTATTTTATATCGTTAATATCTTGATCAGAAAAGTACCTAGGTAAGATTTTAGGAAAAAGTCTTGTTTCTTCTAAAAATCCAACTGTGAGACATGCTTAGTCTGGAGCAAAATCAGTACCCATTACTGTTTCTGTAATTTGGTGATACATTTCATCATTAAATAGAAAGTTATTGTTTTCTAAAATAAAAGATGCTGATTTTAATATAAATTCTTGAGTAAATCTTTCATCTATTATATCTTTATGTTTTGTAATCCAGGACTTTAAAGCTTCTAATCCTAATTTGTGTGGAATACTAATATAGAGATTAACAACGTCATATGTCAAAATACAAATTTCTCTCTCTAAATCTCTTGGTATCTTAAAAAATCCCAATCATCTTTAATGAAAGTTTTTTGTTTTATAGCAATAGGAGATAAAATTATGTGTAAGAACTGACTAAGATGTGATGTTGGTGAGTTAATTCCTGCAATAGTTGGTCTACCCTTGAGGTTTTCTGGTAGTTTTATTTCTATATATAGAGTTTGATTTGTAAACTTTATCAATTATTTCATGACATTCATGAATTTTTGGAGTAATGTGAAAATTGCTAGACTTCCATTTGTAATTTGTGATGTAATTTATTTCATTTTGGTTAAACAATTGTATTTACTAATCATTTTAGTAAGTTCTCTAAAGATAATTTTATCTTAATATAAGATTTGTCTTTTCATAAGTGTTTAAAGAGAGTAGATGGTCTTGATAAACTAGTTTGTTGTTGTAATATAACAACAAACTTGTTATAATATTCTTATAGTTCTATCTAAATTTAATGATTTTGCAATATTTAAAAATTCTTTTAACAATTCTTTTATATCAACAATTTTGTTAACTTTTCCATCATGTTAATGTTGCTTCTTAATTCATATTCAAAATTTGGTGTAATAAAATTTTCCTATTTTTTCTAAAAATTTTGAGACGAATGAATTATTCTCGAATCTTTACATTCTAACAAATTAAATGGTTCTAAAAAGCTGAAAAATTATCTTAATTCTGTTGTAGATTTAAATCCTTTGCCAATTTAAGATAAAAGCAAATTGAAAGTTTTCTTATAAATGCTGTCAATAAAAATCTGTTCTTGACTTTTGTTAAAATTCTCTTCAAAATGCAGTTCATCAAAAAATTTATTACGAATTGATTTACGTTTAGATTTAAAACCAGTTTTAATTCCATACACTTCTACCATTTTATTTGCGTCACTCTTAAACAAATCATAATTATTTTTAATATTTTAAGTGTGTCCATGCATTTTTCCAACAAAGAAGTGGCTTTCATTAAATTTTTATTTATTTTTTGATAAGGTAAAGTATTGTATTAAATTCATTTAATATTTGACTTACATATTGTAAAATAACCAAAAATATTATGCTTGAAGTCTATTTTTTTATTTTCTAAGCTCCTTCATGTTTTTCTGAATTTTGAGAAGTCAAAATAGTTTTATATAATATTTAATTTAGATAAATTTAAACACTATATTTAATTTAAATAAATAAGTATATCTATAAATTTTGATTTAATAGCATAAAGAGCATCAAGTTGGATAGAGAGTTTTTATTGTAGTATCACTTTCATCAGTAAAAGAAAACAATATTTCCCATTTGTTTATGTTTAAACCGAAAAAATGTATATATTTCTTGTAAAAAAAGTTGATATTTCTGGAATATGTTTTATAATGTCATTTATTGCTAGATTCAAATTATGAGCATTGCAATGAATATACTTTGCATTTGGTTGAAGTTCTTTTAATTTCTTTTGAACACCATCATGTATTTCTGACATAATATTGGTGCTGTCATAACCTTGCCCAATCAGTTTATCAATAGAAAATTGTCTTTTTTCCATAGATTGTATTAATATATTTTTAATACCTGTGGAATCTTGAGAGGTTACTTCTTGAAATCCTAAAAATGATTCTTTTATATTTACTTTAGATGGAGTTCCATTGTCATCATATTCAATTTCAACATATCTCTAGACTTCACTTAACATATCTTTTTTGTTGAATCAATTGTTGTGTCTGTCATGATAGAAATAAATGGAGTAGATTTTATTTTTTTTGTTATTTTTTCTTCTACCATAATTCCAAGGCGCTCAATCATTTCATTTTGTATCGTGCTACTCATATATTTAATTGGCCCCTTTGGTTTATTTATTGTTTATGGTTTATTTATTATTTAATGTGTCATAAAGGAATAGTATTCTCCTAAAATAGAAGCAATTTTTCAAAAGTTTCTGTTATATGATTCTTTTGTTAATTCGTTATGACTGCGAAATGCTTGTTAACATCCAACAAGGCTCACAATAAACAGCATCTATTTTATTGAATAGCTTAGCCAAGCTCTAATTGATTTTCCTATTACAGATTGTTTAAAAAAATACGTCGAGGATAAGGATTGATTATTTCGATTTAGATCACGTGGAAAATCAAAATTTTTTGGATGCTTGGGACCTAAATCAATGATAATTTTCTTTTTATTTTTAAAAACTGTTTTTTCAATATAGTTGTACAAATCAAAGTTATTAAAATTTAAGTTTGTGTGAAGGTGATCAACCTGCTCATTACTTTAATTTGGTGGTTGTATTTAACAATATTTTAAAATAAAATATTTTAAAACAATTTTTATATAAAACATCTTTTACAATATTTAATGCCCAAGTATGACTGTGCATTTGCTATAAATTAAACATAACATCTAAAAAATTTAAAATCTTTAATTTGATTTTATTGTTAATTCTAGATTAAATTTATCTTCAAAAAGGTTCACAAGATTTTTTTTATTTTTTATGATTCTGGTCCACTGACCTTATGAAAACAGAACCATCATCTCTATACAATCCATTAGATTGCAATCTATATATTTTGCTTATAGTATGCAGAATATAAAAACCAACAAGCTCGCACAGCTCGGCCTCAAAACCTCCCATAGTGACATCAAAGTTTGGTTCACCAAGTCTCTTAACCCACATGTTGTTTTGATCAGTAAAAAGCAAAGATTTTTTAGAGTGATTTATAACGCCAAGTGTTTTGTCTGATATTTCTGTGTATTGCTTAGCTTAATGTCAAGATTCATGAAGTCATTTTTGTGAGATTGATGGATAAATCTTGTTATGTCAAACTGTATAAAAATACTTTTTTTTTTGTTAAATTATTAAATTGTAAAATTTTATTAAACCATTTTATCATGTTGTCTGTATTATGCAAATTCAACAGAGCTTTCCAAGTTTATGTGAGAAATTAAAAACAAAGATACACAAATCCTATTATAATATGGAAAATTATTGACAAAGCGCAACCGTTTCAACCCAGAGGAAAATTATGCAACCTTTGCCTATCTGAAAAATATCACATAATAACACCAAAATTGAAATTATTAAACAAAAGAAATGATCTGGCATCAAAATGTCGCCATGAAAAATTTTTATAAACAACTTTAACATCATCAAAGCAGACACTGCATAGTATTTTTGTAAATAATTTTTTTGTCTTTAATGTTATTTGTAATATCTGATGATTGCCATAGGCGTGAAACTCAAGTCATGTTTCTTTAACTACCAGGTGTTCTTATTTAATTTTACATAATATAATTTGCTCTACTCTGTATTGAGCTCTCTAAACCGGTATTCATTAAAACAATTATTATACTATATTTTTAAGGTTAAGTTGTATTTTAGTTACATAAATATAAAAACAAAAATAGTAAAAAACATGTAGCACATTTAAAATAAGTTGACCCTTTACAAAGTATTATGTAAATACCAGCGGAATTAAGGTCAGCATTCAGCAATACCGACATAACTGCTGGCCTAAAAGTGTTCGAGGTTGGCAAAAAATTGCAGACCTTGTTTTTATGTTTTATGGCAAGACCTTTGTATCAAATTTTTTTTGCCGACATGATGCCGACCTCTAAAAGATTGAGGTCGGCAAATTATTGACTTCGTTTTTCCTAATTCTAAGGGTTGGTAATTACACAATAATAAGAAAAAGCAAAAAAATGTTTATTCGTTATAACAGTTTTGTGAGCGCCATATATTAAAGTTTCAATTACTAAAACTTTTTTTTATAATTACTTGCTTATAATGATTGTATAACTGATATTCAAGAAAAAACAAATTTCAGTTATAGGGTAATAAATTTTTTAAATTAACAAGGTTGGCAAAAAATTGCTGACCTCAGACACTTTTAGATTGGCATTGCTGTGTTCACTGTCTTCACTATGTTCACCTCCCCGAAGCTTCCAAGTTTAAGGGTTGTTTTTTCACTACCCTTTAACTTGGAAACACTAGCTTTTTGGAGAAATGCTGCTGCATAAAGAACTTGGAACTTACGAAGCGCTCTACCACTATAACACTACTGCTTAGAAAAGGGGCAGAAGAGGCTTAGAAAAGGGGCAGACTATTTTCACTAAAAAGTAGATCTTGTTATTTGGAGAAACCAAAATCTATTTTCGGTAAAAAACTTGATTTGTTATTTGGTAACATTTGGTATTTGGTATTTGATATAAATATTGGTTTTTTAGATTACAAACTATTTTTATTTTTTTTTGATGACAAAATTTTTTTTTTTGGTTACACACAAACATAATTTTTATTATTAAATATTTGTTGTATTTTTCATATGCTATGCTTTTGTTGTTATTGTTGACTACACATTGGTTTTGAATTTTTAAATTAATTAATAGTATGCTTAATACACCCATATTTGATTTTCAGATATAGTTATTATTAATAAGTTATTTGATTTTCAGACAGTTATTATTAGTTATTATTTGATTTTCAGACAGTTCATATTATTTAGTTATTTGATTTTCAGATATAATTATTATTAATTAGTTATTATTTGATTTTCAGATATAGTACATATTAATTTGTATGTCTCATTTTCTTTCAATTTAGCTTAACAAAAGATGACATTCTTAAAGAACTCCTCAACCTGGTTATCTCTGAACCTTCAAATGAAGTGGAAGAAATTTATAAATATAAGTAAATGAATGTTTTATTTTTTTAATTTTTTTGGTTCTAATATAAGTTTTTTTTTATATTTCTTTTTTTTTTTTTTTTTAGATACATGAATTTAGCTTGTGAGGTCCTAACTTTAGATATTTATTCAATATTAAATAAAATTGCTAGCAGTGTTGTAAGTTTTTTGATTTTTTTTTTTAAATTTCTTTGTCAACATATATGTTGATTTAATGAATTTTGTTTTAGAAATTGTAAATCTTGCTTATACTTGATTTTTTTTTTAAGGAGTTCATGAATATATTATGGGGTTACATAAGCTCTTTGCCTCCATTAAATCCACTTTCAGCTAGGTAAATTTTATTGAATCAAATTGCATACCTATTTTATAGCATATATTTTATTATATGCTGTATTTTATTATTAGTTTATTATAGCTATATTTTATCTATTGTTATTTAGTATAATAAGTATATATAGTTATACTTTTTATTATCTAAATACATATCATTTAAAAGCTGTATTATTATATCTAATACATATCATATAAAAGCTGTATTATTATATCTAATAGCAATTTTATGATTTTTATTATATTGTATAATTATTATGTTAAATTTTTTACTTTTTTTTTGTAGTTTTTTTTCTAAAGTATTGACTATACTGATATGTCGAAAAACGTCTGAGGTAATTTATAATCAATATTATATATATATATATATATGTGTGTGTGTATATATATATATATATATATATATATATATATATATATATATACACTTACTAAAGCATATTTTTATAAGCATTTGCTCACTTTTTTTGCTTACCTTAATCCATACAGCTTTTTTAAAAAAGAAGAAAAAAAAACGAAGAATGACGAATGAAACAATTGCTGCCCCATCCCAAACCCTCAGTCGATGTAGCAGCACTCCACTGCGAGTCAGGCTATTTGTCAGTTGATGTATGTACTGAAGCCCCCAGCAGCAGGCTATTTCATTGTGACACCAGATTGCTTACCTTAGTTTGCAATACTATTTGTATATGTATATATATATATATATATATATATATATATATATATATATATATATATATATATATATATATATATATATATATACAGTGTACATAATACATAAATACAGAAAACATACTAGAAAATGTTGCACAAAAAAAAAGTGCACACAATTTATTTAATTGATTTCTGTTCTACTTTCTTCTCAACCCAACTGTTATTCATAATTATTTTAATAATTTATATGTTAATTTGACAATTTCCTATAAAAAGTTGGACAAGTGTATTTATGATGACCAGTTTAGTCACATATAAAACCTTTTTAAATATTTTAATAAAACTAGATGAATCAGGTTTTCAAAGGAAAGTGTTCAATTGCACACCATTATAATACCATGCAAATAATATTTTGTTTTCACAATTTGATCCTGGCTTTTAACATGTTTTCAAAGTATTTTTCCTTGCACATCAATGCTTTGGAATTATCTTTCATCTTCACGTTTTCCTGACTCATACAATTTAAAATTTTTAAGTCTTCTGTCAATTGCTTTTATGTTCTTTAACAAAATTCTTTGTTTTCTGTTAACTCCCAACCTAATAAGTGCTTGCTTGCAGCCTTGTTGGGAGTGAATTTGTGATGTGTGTGTGTGTATATATATATATATATATATATATATATATATATATATATATATATACATATATATGCATTTATATAAATATATAATAAAATCTATATACCTCTATAGGCAGGGTAAGATTATAACCATATATAAACTTATTTAAAATCAAAAGCAAAGCATTCAAAACATAAAGAAAGCCTCGAAACAAATAACTAGATAAAATGATTGAGCTGGCCAGGGGAGCAAATCTACTTTGTTTTCTTTCATCCGTGTTTTTATTGCACAAGCTCTGTGAGCAGACACATCTCATTGATATTACCACTATTCATTTAAATCAATCAGCATGTTTACTGATGAAACCATGCAGTTCTCTAGCGGCTTTATTTATAGTTAATTTGGCCTATATAAATGTTACACACATCTACTCCATTAAAATTAAACTCAATTAAAATTTAAAATAAGGTAACCTCAAATAACAACACTCCCGCAGCTACCTCGCAACCTCGGTTTTACAAAGTAATTACTATACTTTTCCAATTTATCTTTTTAACAAGAACTTTGCTTTTTCTATTTATTACTTCAAAGTTCTCCAAAGACCACCCAATTCTCTCCTTCCACCACCATTATAGGTTGTAGAATGAAACAGCCCAATTTAAATTAGTTTTACAAAGTGAAAATCTGGTAAATTTCGCTAAAGATTTAATTTAAATTACTTTGAAGAATTTTTATGAAGGAAATAAATTGGTGGTATTTTTTAAATTTTTTCCTAATAATCAGCCTGTTGCAACAAAGCGACTCCTTATGTGATCTTGATAATTCACACCAAAAGCACTAACAGGGACTGTTACCTGTGCGCAACATGGCACTGTTATTACTCTGATATTTTATAGCTATTGATTGAATCTTTCTGATTCAATACAAAACCGAGTTTTGTATTGAATCAGAAAGATTTGTGTGATCAAATTGCTGTCTTTATTGTTACAAGTTATCACTATCTTATATGGCTAGCTAGTTGCTAGATCATCTTTCTGGCAATCCTCAAACCAGAGTCTTTATTGTTAGGAAGGTTATTGCTACCTAGTCGCTAGCCGAATAAAGTATAATTAAGATATATTTTAGTTAAAGAGTTTTTAAGTAAATATTTTAGTTAAAGAGTATTCATTTTTTGTTATAATTAAAAAAAAGCAGATTGTGAAAAATTAAAAAGTTCAAAACTCTACTCAAAAAATCTTTAAAGTATTACTACTAAGTTCTTTCTTTTTTAAATGATCTTTTTTTACATTATTTCTCATTTTATCATGTTACTACTTGGTTTCAAAACAGTTTCAAAACATTCATTAACAGCTGTAAAATATCAGAGTAATAATCGTAAATGTTTTTACCTTCTACAAGACAATAGGTGCATAGCAGAGTGACCATGATGTATACACACACGTGCACGTACACAGACACACACATAGGATGCATAAGGCTAAATAAAAATACATGCATAGTTTCCCTATGCATCTTTTACTACACCTTTCCGATGTAGTAAAAGTAAGTTTCAGTGTGAAGAATTCAGTTTAATTAGCAAAATAAAAAGTTATCCTATCCTGAGGGTTATCCGATTTTTTCCAAATTTAAATTTAAAATGAAAATTATAAGTTATGTTTGACAGAAATTTATTTTCCCATATATGAACTTCATATATGAACTAGCTGTGTCCAAATTAAAAAAAAAGCTAACAAATGTGTGCTTCATTGCACATTAAAAACATGAAAAATAATAAAAAATAAAGTTCTTTATCTTTTTTTTTAATTTTTTTTTTTTTTTTTAATTTTTTTCTAAAGCGGTTAATTTTAATGTGCTTTTCCGAGTTGAATCTTGTGCACTATTAATGTATACAATTAGTAACCATGCCAATCTAACTAAACATTTTGAACATCTATGGTGTACTTAAGATAAAAATATGTTTTTTGAAAGTTACAATTCTAACTACATGTTGTAGTTAATTTAAATATAGTTTAAATTTATTTTTATATTTTAGTTTACTATAATTATAGGGGGTAAACAAGTTTTGAAAAATCAGTTTTAATATTTTCCAGGTCATTGCTTTTCTGAAATCCAACGATGCTGTAAATAAATTGCTTGTTCATATTGAAATATCTGCTATAATGGAGTTATTTATTAAGCTTGTTACTGGTGTAGACTCACATGAAATTAGACTGGAAGTGTCTCGGGTATGAAAAGTATTTTAGTTTTATATTTTTACGTCATGTTTTCAATGTAGAGGTTAAATGTTTACCATCACTACAATATAAATATAAACTTCATACACAAAGCGTTTGTCTTTTTACAACTGTTTCTACTAATTTGTTGTTTCCTCCGCAAGGCTTTAGAGGTCACTTCATTAGAGTTAAGGAAGTTACTTTTTTTTTAATTTGCCTTTACAAGGTTTCAGGGGTCACTCCACTACAGTCAAGGAGGCTATTCTTTTTTTTTAATTTTATTAACTCTCTCAATTAACCCTAAACTCTAAAACAAAACATTTTTAGGCAAAAACCTTGTTAAACAAAAACCTTGTTAGACAAAAACCTTGTTAAACGAAAACCTTGTTCAATGCTGTCACACAGAGAAGCAAGTTAAGTACAATATTTCCAGAGGCGAAGAGTGGGTTTAAACCTTCAACCTTTAGACTTTCTAAATAACTAATCATCAATTAGTTATTTAGAAAGTCTACTTAAGCCGTGCATCAAGTCACATGTTTGTAACAGAGGTTTATCAAACTAATTTTTACAATAAATAGTTTTTGCAGTAGTTTGTTACCGCTTATTTTGTTACATAAAAGCCTCAGTAAATTTTTTTGATGTTTTTAATTGTTTAAGTTAGTTTAGAATATAGTTTTAAGGATTTTATAAACCAAATATGTTTAGCAAACATATTTGGTTAATTAAAAAATTTTTCAGGAAACCATTATAAGTAAGGATTATTTAAAATTTATTAAAAACTTTTTTGTTTTTTTTTTTCTGTTGCAACTGACCAATATGTAGATTGAATTGCATATTAATTTTATCAAGATGATAAAATTAATATTTAGCTAAACTTAAGTTCAGATAAATATGATAAAATTATTTTCAGATTTACTTGAATATGGTAGTAGTGTACAGGGGTTGTTTTGTATACACTGTATACCCAACTTGTATGCCCAACTTATTTTTTTGCAGCTTTGTTTACAAAGGTTTGTGTTTTAGATTAGAAAAAAGTTATATTTATAGTTATGAATTCAATAACTATGAAAAAAAAAATAATGCCCTCCATGTCTATAGTGGCTGCCTGGGCCTTGAAGAGGAGAATATATTTAATAAAAAAACATAAAATATAAGATCTATATGATGAAACATTTATAATAAAACCTTAGTTCTAAATTTTATATGGAAATAATTATTAATATTAATGATAAAAATTCTTAATCTTCAATTACTAGTTTAAAGAGTATATCTTATAACAATGTTTGTGTTCGTCAAAGTAAAGTTAAGAATTTCAGTTTTGTAAAATTTACAAAATCTACTTTCTTTATTGAAGACTAATAAGTATTTATTTTTAATTGTTTTTATTTAATTTCTAGTAAAATTTTGTGTTCTTTTCTTAATTTTCCATTTTGTTATGACTCCTGGTTAGGTACCAGCAATTTTTGATATCAAGTTGCTTCAAGCTGGAGTAGATAGTTTATAAGAAAATAAAAGTTAACTCAAAAATAAAAAAATCTAAAGTTAACTAGTAATTATCTTATTTGAAAAATAAGTTTGAAATATCAAGGTATATAAACTGCTTTTAAGACGCCATTTTTGTGGACTTTTATGTGTCATATATCACACATTTTAGACTTATATTTTTAGTTAATATATTTCAAAAATAATTTCTCTATTTAAAAATTCATCTAAAGTCAAGTTTTTAACAGTTTCATGTTTAATTTCTAGTAAATTTAATTTTAACAGTTTCATGTTTAATTTCTAGTAAATTAATGTTAACAATTTTTTTTTTTTTTTTAAGTGGCTTGATGATGAAAAATTAATTGAAAAGTTAACGAACTTGCTTCATTCTAAACAAAATGAAGATGTAAGTTTTTAAATTTTTTTAGACTTTCAATTTTTTTATTAAGTTGCTTTTAAAAATAGCTTTTTTTTTAAATCAAATTTAGTTGATGAAAATATTTTATGTTTATTTTTAATATAATTTAACTTTAAATTATAGCTTAAAAGGTAACAAAATATTTTTAGTTAAATTAAATTTTATTCTGATTTTTTAAGAAAAAATAAATTCGGTTCTGTAATTAATTAAGCTTCAGAATGATAATTTTTATTAAATTTTAAGGTTCACTACAATGCTGGTCAGTTGCTCAGCGAATTATTGCGTATTGGTAGAGATTCAATGTCCCAGTTTGAATTTGATGAAGATCCTTTGCTAAGAACTTTGGAAAAGTAATGCTTATTGTAATTTGTTTACCTAAGTATGTTTTCTTACCAATTAAATCTGAAATATTAGGGTAGTACTTAAAACATAACTTTTTAAAAAATGTCAAACCATATCTCAGCCTTTTTTATGTGTTCCATTTAACAAAATTATACTAACTTGAAGAAATTAGCTTTAAAATGTTTTCAGAGGTAGTTAAATGGCCCTTGAACATTTGACGGGTCTCTAATATCATCACAAAAATATTTCTTTAAAAGTGTGTAAACCTGTTATTCAAAATCATTCAAATGGGCCATTTAACAAATTATCATTGTTATTTAAAAATTCTGTAAAAATAAGTTCATTTTATCACTTAAAACATGTTTTTTTATGCATTCTAAAAAAGTTTTTATATAAAAATAAAATTATTTTCGGTATTTTTTATGTAATTTTTTTTCTTTTGAAAACCAGATTAACAAACTTTTAAAGAAATATTAATCTCTTTAACAGTATCTCAATCTATAAAGATAGAGTTTGTCAAAAACAGATTGATAATTTAGTTGTACTCAGCAATACATCTTTGTTTTTAATGATTTACTAATCATTAAAAACAAAGATAAAAATAAGCCAAAGAAAAGATTTTATGGCTTTAAAACATTGAAAAGCAGCAAAATGCAGAACCCCTAGATATATGTATATGTAACCATGATGATATTGATACCATCAATAATTAGAAGATTAGAAGTCAATAATTGACAATGAGTCTCAATTTGCTTTGAATCACTCCAGTGTTTATGAAAATTATATAATTTATACTAGCAATGTAAAATCTACTCTATCTACTGTAAAATGTCAACCAAAACAAGTTTTAAAAAAAATTACTGCTGTAAATTGCTTTTTCAAGAAATAGGAATTTCCAACCCTATTTGGTGTGTAGTGGAAATCTATTTGAATAAATGTTTTAAAAATATGTTTATTCATCGAGAAGTATGATACATATTAGTTAATATGTATAATAGCTTGATTTAGCAGTGTCTTGTGCAAATCAGCCACTCATTATTTGAACAAATAAAATGCAATATTATGAAAAGTGTATAACTTTATATTGAATGTTGTCCTATCTAAAATATATTTAAAATCAAGAATGATTGGCAAACAGAAAAATCTTATAGTATGTATGTATGTATATATATATATATATATATATATATATATATATATATATATATATATATATATATATATATATATATATATATATATATATATATATATATATATATATATATATATATTATTTAAATGAAGAAAAACAACATTATAATAGTACTTAAAGTTTCGTGCCTTTCGGCAATCATCAGCTATTAATTACAAATTAAAAAAGTAAATTAACGTTTAAAAAACGAATCAAAATTTTATGGTAGAACAAGTTCTGACGTAATTTAAAAAGACGCAATCATTTAATCTCCAGTATCAAACGAAGATAACAGGAATTTATTTAAATGTCGACATCTAGATAATATTTTGTCTTTTTTTTTTAAGCAGGTTGTTTCCATTAAAAGATAAAATTTCTAATTTCTCATGAAGACAAAGTTTGCAGGTTTTTGTTTCTGGTTTGTAAGCTTCACTGTGTTTTATAATTTTCCACTTTATAATAGGTGTTGTACCTTTTTCTTTTAAACTCCAAATTTCTTTTGAAAGTTCAGTATCATTTTTATATTTGATCGCATTAAGAGGTTTTAAATGATTTGCGTATCTGAGCTTAAATGATGTCTCACTGATACCGAAATATACTTTTTCCTTAGGATCTGGATCATCAGAACTCACAGTGGCTTGGTAAACAATATTTTTTACTAAACATTGGTTGCTTAATAAACAAACGGTTTATGTAATACAGTTGCATTTTTTTGTAGTTATATTTCTTTTACTTTGTAAAATCTTGTGGTTGTGTGAACTAATGATGGATTTAATATTTTGCATGCAGCTATAACTAACCTTGATCGAATTTCTATTGAATATTTTGCGTAGTTTGTGATTCACAGGGAAATGTAGATCAACCAATGCTAATAAACGATTTCCTATTTTTGTTTCTACATTTAGACAAAACGGAGGGTTATACCATATAATATTTCGCTTGCGATTTTTATTTTTAGGTGATATAACCTGGGGTTGGTATGTAAGCCTTCAGTTATAGCCAGCTTTTTTAAAAGCCTCTTTGTAAGATGGTGTAGCATTATTAAAAACAACTTCATTTGATGACGTTGAAGATAATCTTATTTCAACAGTACGTTGGAGTCTTTTAATAACATTAGGCGGGTGGTTGGAATCACAGTGGACATATATCAGTTCATTATCGGGTTTAGCGTAAGGTCGAAAAGAGTTGCTATTAAGAGTATCACATCAAGATAATTTACAATTTTCATATTGCATTGGATAGATATAAGAAAATCAATACTTTGAAAAATTTTTACAAAATGTTTCTTGATTTTTTCCATCTGCTGGCCATTGATGTTCTTAAATATTGCTAGACCGTCGTCACAATATAAACCAACATTTTCTTTTTTGTAATGTAAAGAAATTTGAAATAATAAAAAAATTCCTACTAACTCGCAAACTTCAGCACCGTCATAAGCCCCCATGGTAACATCAAATTGACCACCATTTTTCTTAACCCACGCTTCCTCATTGTTAAAAAGTAAAGATTTCCTTGAATGTTTTATTAATTTTTTTATTTACTTTTCATTAGTTATTAAAATATGCTGTTCTGCAAAGTTGATTGCGTTGTTTAGGGTTACTTATCGAAGGGTAAAAATCATTAATGTCAAAAATTAAAAATTTGTACAAATATTTGTCTTCAATTTTTACAAACCAGTCAGTAACATTCTTGGTGCTTTGCCATTGGTTTAAAAAGCTTTAACTTAACTTTCTTGATATAACCATTACAAATAACACACTAAGAAAATATGAGTTCAAAGTATATCGAAAAGAGGCAATCACTAACATTCAAATTAAATCCCATTCAAATCACGGTCCGAATATTTTAACAGCTATATTTAAAGGTTTTCTCCACAGAGCTTACTCTATTTGTAGTAAAGATCATTGCAAAATGAAATAAATTTTTTAATTGACATGTTTATTGAAAATGGGTACAATGAAAAGCTATTGAGGAATATTACACACCAATTTCATCAAAGAAGACAGAACATCAGAAGAGCATTAATGAAAACAAACATAATCAATCTGCATTAACATTTCATAAAACCTTTTGCAAAGAAAATATTATTTGGAAAAAAAATGAACGTTAAAGGTAGAAAATAAAAAGTTTGAAAGAAAAATTAGAGAGGCACTAGAAATACAAATATATATATATATATATATATATATATATATATATATATATATATATATATATATATATATATATATATATATATATATATATATATATATATATATATATGTCTTTAATTCATGGTCTTACTTGCAGAATCATTTTTACAACATCATGAACAAAATATAAATCCTCCTCTTGACCTAAAATCCTTTTTAAGATATGTCGACAATAGTCAGGCTAGATTTTCCAACACTTAAGAAGCAGAACGTTTCCTAATTATCTTAAACAACACCCTGCGATACAATATAAGATCGAAACTGAAAGCAAAAATAGAACTCTAATCTTCCTTGATTTAACCATAAAAATAACAACAAAGGAAAATAAGAGTTTAAAGTTTAAAGAAAAGAAGCCATTACTAATATCCTAATTAGACTTCACTCAAATCATGACATTATACTAAAATTCTAGACGCAATATTTAAAGGTTATGTTCACAGGGCTTATTCTTTATGCAGTAATTTATATTTACAAGATGAGATTAATTTCCTTATTCAAATGTTTAATGAAAATGGGTACAACATGCCAACTTAAAGGGATTGCAAACTTAATTGGAAATAAACAGTCTCTAAAAATCAACAAAATTCAATCAGACTTTCTTAACATCTCTACTGTATTATTACCGTGGATACCATCACTATCCCTGAAACTAAGGAAAATATTTCAGAAAGCTGACTATAGAGTAGTCTTCAAATCAAATTTAAAAACATTACTAATGTCAAAAACAAAACTAAATTGCCACATAATAGTCAACCTGGAACTTATTTGATTGAATGCAAATGCTCAAAGAGATACGTAGGCAAAACTAAACTTCAAATTAGGACTTGAACTCAACAACATCTAAAAAGTTTAAACGAGGGGAAACATCAATCTGCAATAGCCACCCATAATAAGTTTTGCTCACAAGAATTAAAGTGGGTAAACGTAAAAGCAATTAAAGTTGAAACAAAAAAATTTGATCAAAAAGTGCGCAAAGCTCTTGAAATACAGAAGTTCCAATGTAATATATATATATATATATATATATATATATATATATATATATATATATATATATAATATATATATATATATCTATATATATATCCTTATGGTGTATTTAAAAGAGACTTTTATGGTAAAAAAAAGTCTCTTTCGACTACAATTTTTTTACCTTGTCTCTTAAGCTGCATTTTATTGTCGTTGAAATGTCAAAGCAATTAAATTAATGCGAAAGTACATTAAATTTTATTGTTTTTTAAAAAAACCGCAATAATAATGACTAGAAAGTTTTTTTTTAATTAGTGGTGTTTTTGTCTTTGTTTTATTAAAAAACATTTTTAAAACATGCGTAAGTGTTGCTACATCGACTATCTTATAGCCTCTTTAAAACAACAGTTTATGGGAAAAACTTTGTGACTACCATGCAAGACTATATATATGTATGTATATATATATATATATATATATATATATATATATATATATATATATATATATATATATATATATATATATATATATATATATATATATATATATATATATATATATATATATATATATATATATATATATATATATATATATATATATATATATATATATATATATATATGCATGCTAGGATCAAGTATTTCTTTACTAATGTTGATATAGA